AGTAGATCAGCAGTTTCTGAAATACTCAGACCAGCCCTTCTGGCACCAACAACCATGCCACGTTCAAAGTCACTCAAATCACCTTTCTTCCCCATACTGATGCTCGGTTTGAACTGCAGGAGATTGTCTTGACCATGTCTACATGCCTAAATGCACTAAGTTGCCGCCATGTGATTGGCTGATTAGAAATTAAGTGTTAATGAGCAGTTGGACAGGTGTACCTAATAAAGTGGCCGGTGAGTGTAGATCTAAATGTATGTGCTGAATTAATAGTTGATGATGATTATTTATTGGACTGAAATGTGCCTGACACTGTGGAAACCTGCCGGTGAGGCATCAGTGACGTATGTCGATACGCCCCAAGTCTAACAAAATACTACTGGACCAGCTGCGTTCCGCCTTGCGCTGAAAGCTGACCAGGTTTGAATCGGCGAGTTTTCAGCGCACTTTACACGCCGGTGGCGAGCACGAAAATGTCACTGCGCCAGCTGATTCTGTCGACACCTCCCCCTGCCACGCCACCACGCCCAGCTTGGCGGATCTCGGCTCGCCTCCGTGCGGCTCAGTCCACGAAAATACCAAACTCGCCTTACGCCGGGCTCCACCAGACGAAAATACAACTGCGTGGGGCTCGCCGCCTCACCGGCACGCACGAAAATAGAGCCCTTAATGTGCTTTTGACTTTCTGTGTTGCTTTTGGAGTTAACAAAAATTTGCCTATTGAGGAAAATAACAAAATGAGAAAAAACATAAAAAGCTACCCCTATGAAAAGTCTATCATATTTTAATTTACTTATATTGACCCTAAAAACAATTTAGTATATGTAAGGTTTTGCCCACCCAAGTGGTACCGATGTAACGAGACAACTGCTTTCTGCTATCCACATTGAATCCACCCCTCAAAGGAATGCAGGCTCCCCTGGTTTGGACAGGAAATGGGGGAGTAACGGTTTGCACACTAAGTTCCCATTTACGACCCAGGAAACCATTTGGGAGGTGATAGTGAATCTTTAACGCTTCCCAAAAGGACAAGTTGCTTATCAACCACCCAGACCCATAAACACGGCGTCTCTCACCCTGGCTGGGAAAGATCAGAATTGACATTTCAGGATTAACCCAATGACCTAAAACGGAAAACAAACCATTTGGCGCCAGGTCCGGAAAAACCAGATACCTGCCATAAAATTCTTTGAGTGACTGTTTCTCTCCATGGCTTTCTTTAAAGGAGCAGAAAGAAGAGGATGCCTGAAAATGGTTTAACTTCATGTTTAATGGACACTTCACTAGAATTTTCTGTCTGCACACCACATTCTTAATGAAATGGTCTTTTTCCCAATTTTGTAACATATCCACAAGCCAAACTGTTAACTTCACAAATTTATTCCAGGTTTTCCATGGATCAAGAGCTCCTCCTAGTGGTGATGCCTGAATATGGTTTGATCAGAGCCAAATGGCAGGAATCTAATCATGTGTATTTCTTCCCTTTTGTTTTATACACTTCGTAGCTTAGTAAATGGTATTCCCAAGATAGGCTACTAGTAGTAACGTGAAACTCGTTTAGACTCAAGTTAAGAGTTTCTGAATGTATCCATACTATGTTTTGTCTACCTCACACAAATATATATATTAATCATCTATGAAGCTTGATTGACAAGGTTATAATGTTGTCAAATATTATTACGTATGTGTTTCTTATGCTGGATGGTGTTTCTGTTCGAATAGATAATTTGTTTTCTGTCCCTCTATAACTTTTAAAAGTCGTTAATCCTCTTATTATCAAGAAGACGGCTGATCAAAGTTTACTGTTTTCAATGTCATGCTTTAATGCATCTGCTCATAAGAAACAATGAAGTGAAATGTGATCGTATGTGATGTTACAAACAGTTTAATCATAGTGAGTGAGTAAATTAGATCTAGCTCGCTTTTAATATCAAGTTGAGTTAATTCGCTGCCAGTCGATGTGCTGCATCGGGTTACAACATTGGCTGTCACTTTCCTCTTGGTTCACGCCCACACGGGATTGTTTAAAAAGAGCCCGGGAGTCTTTGCTCGCTCTTCAGTTTAGTTTTTCTCTTCGTCTAGTTTTCTTTCGTCTAGTTTTCTGTTGTCTTCCTTTGAGTCTAGTCTTTTCTTTTGTCTTGTTTGTAGTTTTCTTTTATCTCCGTCTATCGTTCGCAACTTTCCCCGCGTTTTTATTAATTGCCTTAAGCTCAGATTTTTCTTCTAAAACTTGGATGAAACCATACCCAAGTCGATTAAAGCCTTAGTAACAAGCTGCGCGCATAAGAGAACCTCAGTCTAAGTCTTTTTATTTATTTTTGTTCGCTAAAGTGACTCCTGAAGATAATATCGGCTGGCCAGCGAAATTATTTTCTTAAGTTATTGGCGCGAATTAATCTGCAACCAAGCTAGTCCTGAACGCCGACCAGCATCATCTGCCAAGCTGCTTTGCCACCCGGTTCCGAGAGGCCCAGAGATCCGAAGTATCTAACGGCGCTGACACGGTCCTGAAGCTTAGATCCAGACACGGCGGAAGAACTCCCCGCCGAACCTTCAGTATCCGGTCCGGTAGCCACAGAACTTCAGCTGATCCATTCCAAGAGTGCCGCTGAGAACCGACGTCCAAAGTAGGCAAAATCCTCGAAACTGCTGTGATGAGAACTGGGTGATGCCGTCAACCGTTCAGTAGCTTACTCTCATAAGTTATAGTTTAGTTCTCCAAATTCTTCTAAATTTACCCTCGTAACTCCGTTAACGTAGGTTAAATTTTCCCTTATTCACTCACTATCATTAACCTCCAGTCTTAGGTTTAATTTAAACCATTCCTTCGTTTATTCATTAGATGTGCTTTGATTTTCTCATTATTTGATCATCATTTATTGACGTTTTGTTATCATATAGCTTGTTAATAAATTGTCCATTTAATTTTAAGTTGTCGTCTTAGTGGTCTTTCAGAAAGTAGTCCCTGAATGAAGAATTCCGGCCTCAGATGAGAGACTGATTTAAATCTGTTTAAGACTGATCCAACGTTTAATTACTCAATTGAACTTTGTTTCGTCCTTTTCCCACCAGAAAGGTGGGTGGTGCCCCTTCAACGAGTGCATAAATGTCATAATTTAATTTGATTAATTTTCGACATTTATTTTGAATTTGAAATCGCTACATGTTATTTGGTGCGGCTGTGCAAGGCTCATTTTAAACGACTTCTGTAAGGCACTAACAGACAACTTTAAGATTATTTTAGATTCCCAAACTAGTGAGAAACCAAACTTTCCCAACTTAGACTTCTTAAGATCTATGCTATGCTTGCTGAAATTACTGGATTGCTTGCTTAATGTATGTCTGATGCTTTTTGAAATTGCTGAACTGGGCGTTTGATGTATTTTCTGTTTCATGTTCTGATGATATTGAGCTCTTTGTTAAAGCGCAGATTTTGCTGCTGCATACGTTTGTGTGTGAGCCTAGACCACGTGGATCATTGTTTTGGATTGCAGCGAGGCTGCGGTGTCTGCTCTGCGCGCCACCGACGCGCGTACCCAGATTGTTAACTTTTGAGTGCACGATTTCAGCGTCGCCGTACGCTTGTATTAGAAGGCCTTGGGCCGGACCCGGTGTTCGCGAAGCTCCGAGCCGTGGTTCCGAGTCCCTGAACCCTGTATAGTCTGCTACGAAGTTCTAGTAACTGTAAAGGATTCAGTTTATTCCTCATTCCCCCTGCAGATTAGCTACCTGTCGCGAGAGATCACTGTTCCCAGTGAGAGGTTGTTAGAGTGATTTCAGACATGATTCTTTTTCACAAATCGCCACATTTCGTGAATTTAAGTCCGCAGTTTTGTCTGCTGTTGTCTGTGTAAACTCTTGTTACTCCCAGAGAAGTCTAGTGAAGCAATCCGCTGTTAGAGACGCAGCGTTGAATTTTCCCATTGCCACTGCGCGCGCAGTCGCAGTGAGGTGTTAACCCTTTGGCGTCCATTGGAGAGACTACTCGGCCAGTGTTGAATAGGCACGCCACCCCGAGGGGTGGAGCCCAATAGCGACGTCATAACGTTGCGTCGCGACGTACGGAGCGGTTGAACCGCCCCCTTGAACATCGCCCTCGTGTGGTGAGCGGCAAGCACTGCAAGCCGACTCACAGCCACGTGGCCTTTGTTTTGCTTGGACCTCATTGTAAACAGACTGCAGTCTAGACGACTGCCACGCCTCCCTGTTGTCAAACAGATGCCATGCAGACATAGTCAGATTGAGTTGGTTGATTGAGTTTTATTTTCTGTATTACAAATAAAACGTTGATTTACTTGATAAACAACTTTTATTTTTACTTTATACAGATAAGACCACTTGCCTTATCAAGGAGAATAGCTGAATCAAATCTTTGTCATCCTGTAATCATTGTTCATTGCCTCCATCTTTCTTTGACCCTTTATAAAACACTTAAATGTGATCACAGACTTAGGGCAATAGTTAATTAATTCATTAATGTAACATTAATCAATTAATTCAATAATTCCCTAATCAACCTACGATCAGAATTTTTGTTTTATTCCTTTTTGGTCAATTGAATTTGGACATTTTACTTTGATTATCTTGTGAAGACTTGAAAGATTTAATTGCATCTACAACTGCATCGTTGATCCTGATTACTTTCAGCTTTTACCTTCCTTCCACACTTAGCTGACAATCTGCTATTTACTGTAAAGGTTTCCCTGTACTCCTTTATGTAAATTTTATTTGACCAAATCCGGTTTGGACTATGAGATTTGGCTGTGATTAGGTTTGATTTTTGTACGTAATTCCTTATCAGCTAAAATCCAAATTCTATTTTAGCTTCCTTTGTTTGTTTCATTCCGGAAATAAACATCCAGCTATTTTATCGTGAACCAGACTTTGCTTAAAGCGCTTATCTTCTGGTCCAAAATTCACAGCTTTTCTCAAATTGCTTTATAGGCACGGCTATTCTGTTAAACTCATTAACCTACCAACCTTACTAAACTTGAAGCAACATGGCAGAACATCAGGAGGCAAGTTGGCAACTATTCAGTGAGGAGCTAAGGCATGCGCTGACAACTCTGACTCAGCCGCTGCTCCCAGGCTATGTAGACGAAGCGAATCGCACTGATAACAATGGGCTTCAAACTGTGTTGAATGAGGTGATTGATTGGGTCACACAACACCCACCTAAAGAAAAAGAGATCCCCAAAGCTTTAGCACGCTTGGCTTGTGTGATGTCTGTCCAAATTAAGAGACAGGACGAAGCCATGGGGAGGGCCCAAGAACAAATACGGGCACAAATGAAGGAAATTGATCATCTCAAAGAGGAGCTGGGAGGCACTGAAAGGGCTCTACAGCAAACTCGAGACCGTTTGGATGAGATGCAAGCAGAGCCTCCATCCCAACATGATCAAGACCCTTCCTTAGTAACCCAAATCTCAGACTTGCGTGACACCATTGAGGAAAAGGAAGCTCAACTTTCGGACGCTAGGTCCACCGTTCTTGAACAATTACAGGAGTTGTCAAGAGTGAAAAGCAACCTAGATCAGTCCTCAACTGATGCAAGGGACTGGAAGGCCCGGTTTGAAAGCAAAAGGGTGGCCCTCGAAGCTGAAGAGAGACATTCTGCTAATTTAAAGCAAATGCTCCTCGAGACTCAGAGGAAACTTACTGTGGGTCAACCCCAGCAAGATCAGAGCGGGCGAAGCTCGCTTGAGGAAGTTTCCAGGTGCTCTTGTGGATGACAAAATCTACTTGATCAAAGCTACCTCCAATCGAGAGGTTAGCAGCTTCATTGAACGACAACCGCGTCGGGTCAAGAACGACTATGACCGGCTGTGTCAGGCATTAGTTGACGAGTTCTCTGACCCCCTTACACCCACTGGTTTAGCTGCTGCACTGTTAGTCAAACAGGAGAGACAGGAATCTCCCCAGTCGTACTACAGTGGCCTTCGCCAGGCTTACTTTGGTTGTCAAAATGAACCTGAAATGGAGGAAGATCTAAACTTTAAGACTTTGTTTGTTCAAAACCTCCATCCGACCACGAGTCATCATCTTGGTGTTGCTGCTTGTCCCCGAACCTTAAACAGCAGACAGCTCCGCGAACTGGCTGTAAAAGGCTTTGCTAAACAGCGACACACCCAATCTAAGAAAGCCGAACCTGGTACTGTCTTGGCTGTGGACACAAGGTCCATGCCCCTAGATCTGGAGGGCGGTGCCGTGGGTGCGCATTCAGATGCACCTCAAACTGCAACAGCCCGACCAACCCAGAATCTGAAAACTTCCCGATATCAGCCAGCTGATAAAGGTCAAAACCTGAAGCAGCCTCAGTCTGACAGTGAACAACACCAGGTCAGATTTGACGAAGATCGTCCACCCTCATACTCTCGCAGGGATGGGGCTCACCCTAGAAGGGATGACACCCATCGGCCCTACCGACCTGACAACAGGGGGTGGAGAGACCGGTCAGATCGTTATGGCCCACGCCGAGAACGAAACTCAGAGCGACCTTACCCGCAGTTTCAGTCAGCACTTTCTGACGAAGAGATGGGTACAAAGGCCAAATCAGACCCTCCCCAGAAGGGTAGTGGATCTAAAGGTGGATCTAAGGGTGAATCAAAGTCCTCTGATCTGACAGAGGAAGAACGCAAACTCCTAAGACAAATAATCCGTAGAATACAGAGAAAAGGAGATAAGAAAGCAGATCTCTCTCTGTCGCTGACGCCGCCGTCCAGGATGACACTTCTGAGCCAAACATGATGCCTGTCCAGCAGACTGCAGTTCAGGAGGACGTGTGTATGTCCTTACAGGAGTCGGTGACACCCTCACCAGCTAACACTCCTGCCGATCTTGAACCTCGGGACAACACATCACAAGAAACGACATCTACCAGCGCCGTCTTGGTAGTACAGGCGAACTCCGCAGAGGAGCCAGCCGAAGAAGACTCCTCACTTATTCTGCTTGAACCACCTTTCCTCCAATTCTTGTGCAACCTCACTGAGAAGGGTATCGCACAGAAGTTTTATATTAATACTGTCCTTGAAAATGAACTTCAACACGAAGCTCTCTTAGACACTGCTGCTGACATCACTCTGATGTCCTCCACGCTCTTTAACCGCCTGCGCAATATGGTGCAGCAGTCCAACAGGGACATCAAGCTGCAGCCCTGCGCCATGGAGATTCGGCCGTACTCCACAGACAGTACGACCTTAAAAACAATGACGATGTTGAACATCTCCATTGGACCAATGAAAATCATGCACCCCGTGTATGTGTCACCCCTTGAGTCGATTCCTTTCCTCATCGGTCAAGACCTTTTAAAAAGGTTTGAGCCCCTGATCGATTATCGACAGCTGAAAATATGGGCACAGGTCCGCAGACCATTACCCATACCAGCAACTGACAAGAATCGGGCTCAGTGTTACGCCCTGACGCGTGAACTTGCTACAAGCACACCGACAAGTGTAAGCTCACCGGAGCAACCCTACTTGATTGACGACGAGCCACAACCCTGCTCGTGGCCTTTCGATGACTCAGTCATAAAAAGGGACACATTTTTGTGCAAATTCGATGACACCAATGGACCCGACACGCCCGGGCCATTGATCACTGACGGCATTAACTTGAATGAGTATCACGTCAACAATGTGATTTTGGCTCTTTGGGCTGACAAATCAGCCATCAGCCGTGAACTGTACGACGCCTTATCTAGGGATGACCCGAACCTCCAGTGTGTTCGGAAAGCATTTCGCTTCCCTTGGACTCCCTTCCTAAAGCCACCATGACTGCTGAAGGCGTCTGTGCGATGGAACAAAAGGGAGATGACTCACCACTTCTTGGTCATCCCAGACCTACCACATCAGGTCTACATGGGAAGTGATATACTGGTCAGGTTGGCAGTCCAGGTCGATACCATTAACAACATACTGTGGTCCTTTACCAGTGTTAATGAGGAAACCCAAACCCCTGATGTCGACAACATCATATCAGGACAGTCGATCCCTGAAGCCTGTCAGGTAGCCAATGAACTTGACATTGTCATACCTGCAATGACCACAAACGTTCCCATTCGCTTGAACCTACAACGTGGACAAAAGCTGTCGCACACTCAAGCTTTCTTCCAGCCGTCGTTGCTCTTTCTTAAACTAGGGCTGTCTACTCAGGCAACTCCTCTTCTTGAGCTTCACTCGAGATTCACACACTTGCTTGTACAAAACACGACATCAGAAGATATCCTGATCCCTAAATCCACCCCGCTGGGTTGGTTGATCAGCACATCGTTCCACGACTTTGAATTGAGGATTCCTGTAATAGGAAAAATGCCCCGTTCTCTGATGTCAGACCATTCGCCGGAACAGGTCTTCCATACCCTACCTTCCAGGGCTATCTCGCTCTTTCCAACTGTACCGCTGGACCACGACACCATCTGTCAGGTCGACCTCTCTGAGGACTCACAGATGGTTCTGCACACAGTGCAAGTCCTAAACGTCAGTTCAGAGCCAGAAATGGCCCATACACTTTCCGGGGTAGAACCCTCTATCTTCCCAACCGGGCAAACACCTGAGCACGATCCAGACTTTGACGCCAAAGTCGAACAGCTCGTAGCTGAGGCAGACGCCCTGAACGGCGAAGAGGAGCGTGAAAAGCTTCGCAAACTTCTGCACAAATATCGAGCCTCTTTCGCAAAAGACTCGCTTGACTGTGGCTTAACCTCTATCCACTCTATCCGCATTCCGACACCACCGGATGCACCACCAACTTTTGTACGCCAGTACAAAATTCCCTTAGCATCCTATGAACCTATTCAGGAAATCATAGACGATCTTTTGGCGAAGGGGATCATTCGGCCATGTAACAGTACCTACTCAGCCCCACTCTGGCCAGTACTGAAACCAAACGGTAAATGGCGACTGACCATCGATTACCGCAAACTGAACCAACAAGTTCCCCTTTCCAGTTGGCCTATGGCTCAGCTCCAACAGGATCTGCCAAAGATCTCTGACGCGAGATACTTCTCCACTCTTGACGTGGCATCAGGGTTCTGGACGATACCAGTACACAAAGCTGACCAGCACAAACTGGCGTTCACTTTTGCCAACAGGCAGTACACCTTCACCCGATGCCCTTTCGGCTATGCCAACTCGCCAGCAGAGTTCAACATCTTTCTTAACAAAGCCTGCCCAGATGCTAGTGAGAGAGGCAACCTCATATATGTCGATGACATCTTAATGAGGAGCCAAACCCTGGACATGCATCTCGCTGAGATTGACCATGTCCTGAACCAGCTCACGAACGCCGGGGCAAAGATATCTCTGTCGAAATGTCAGTGGTGCAAGACCAAGGTGAACTACGTCGGTTTGCTTGTTGGTCCAACAGGGGTCGAACCACAGCTGAGTCGGATTCAAGGACTGTCAAACCTTAGAGCTCCCACAAACGTCTCAGAGCTTCGCAGCTTTTTGGGAGTATGCAACTACTCCCGACAGTTCATTGAGGACTATGCATACTTAGCAAAACCCCTCACTAACATACTGAAAAAGGATGTGCCACTCACTTGGGGACCGTCCCAACAACACACCATGCAAGCTTTAAAAGACAGATTCTGTGCAGCTCCTTGTCTTGCCTACCCAGACTGCAACAGACCGTTCTATCTGGAGGTCGGCTTCTCTTGTCACTGCCTCAGTGTAGGGTTATACCAGATCCATGACTCAGATAAACGAGTCGTCGCGTATGCTAGCAAAACCTTGCTGGCTCCTGAACTGAAGTTCTCCAACTGCGAAAAAGCGCTTCTCGCCACTGTGTGGGCTGTGAAGCATTTTTCCAACTATCTTGGAGGCCAAAAGGTGATTGTGGAAACCAATCATCAACCAGTGACCTTCCTTAACAGCCAAAGAATCAGAGACGGCGTTGTAACCAACGCTCGTGTAGCATCTTGGCTTATGGCTCTTCAGAGCTTCGACATCGAGGTCCACTACGCCCAAAATCGCAAAACACCTCTCGGGATGGAACTCGCAGCGTGCCAAAGCTGCTTGACAGACAGCGTGGACACAGGGTCCCCAACCTGCGAACCCAAGCCACCTGAATTATCTTGCCACCGGTACTTTGACGACAATGTCTGCAAAGACATGATTACAGCTTACGTTGATGGTTGCTCATACCATCACGACACTGTTCTCCGAGCAGGCGTGGGTGTTGTCTGGGTCAACGACGAACCGTGTGAACCACTCAGCTTCAACCTAGGGGCCCAAACGTCCCAGTATGCTGAAGTGGCAGGCATTCTGATTGTTTTGCAACTTGCGGTGGAACACAAAATCCACGCCTTAACGATCTGTACAGATTCCAACTATGCGCGACTCAGCTTCTCATGCCAGCAGGGGGCCTTGACTGGCTCAAACTGGCACTTTAAGCCCTCTGTTTTTCCCCTCCCGCCCGTACCCCTGGTTTGTGCTGTCACCAGAGCCCTGTCTCGAGCTCCACCTCGCCCGGCTCCCTCGGGCCCGGTCTCCGCCACTGTGGCTCCGTTTTTTTCTGACTCTGACTTGCTGGCGCTCCAAGCTTCGGACCCAGCCATTGCTGCCATGACCAGTTCCTTTCAGGGCCTCCTGACTCCTCCATGTCTCCTGTCTTGCTTGACTCCATCCTTGGTCTGCGCCATCTTTTCCGCGTGCGCTCTTCGCTGCGGCTCGTCAAGGGCTTTCTGGTTTATGTCTCCGATGCACTCACTTCGCCTGCCCTGGTGGTGCCTCGCAGCCACAGGGGGGTGATGTTGACATACGCCCATGACACACCGTGCGCAGGACACAGAGGAAACAAAGCCACGCTCCATGCTCTCCAACAGGTGGCCTATTGACCACACATGCAGAAAGATGTAGCGGACTACATAAAAGGGTGCCTGGTTTGCTGCCAGTTTCAACCGGCAAACCCACTTCACCGAGCACCTCTACAGCGCAGAGGTATCTCCTTTCCTTGGTCAGACCTCCAGATCGATTGGGTGGGTCCTCTCACTAAGTCAGCAAGAGGAAACAAATACTTCACAGTTGTCTGTGCATTCACCAAATGGGTAGAATGGCTACCAGCCCCAAACGATACGGCTCAGACCACAGCCTACCTCTTGATGAACCACATCTTCTCGCGGTTCGGACTCCCAACTCGTGTCGACTCTGACAGAGGGACACATTTCACCTCAGAGGTAATGCAACAACTGTGGCAACTGTTGGGCGTCAAAGCCAACTTCCACATCAGCCACCACCCCCAGTCGTCTGGACAGGTAGAACGGGCAAACCGAACAGTGGTAACCATACTGAAAAAGTATGTGTCAGCCAACCACAAGGACTGGGATGTTAAGCTTCCCTTGGTCCTGATGGCCATCAGAGCGACTCCACATGGGTCAACCGGGTTCTCACCCTTCGAGCTGATAACGGGCAGACAGATGACCCTACCTCTGCACCTGCTGTATCAGCCAGGTGAGGCCAGTATAGCAACGGCCTACACGACCCATCAGTACATGACTGAGTTACACCAGCACCTGAAGGCAACGTTTGCCTTCACCCAAGAGCATCTCAGCAAAAGTGCTGAAGGACGCAAGTCCTATTATGACCAAAAAGCCTCCCAACAGGAACTCCAAGTGGGTGGCAAGGTGTGGTACTACCTGTTCACCCAGCCCACTGGAGATAAAGCCCCAAAGTCTGGGAGACTGGCACGAAAGTTCCTGCCCCGCTGGGCAGGCCCGTACCTGATCACTGAAAAGCTCTCTTCTGTTGTGTACCAAATTAAGATCGCAAAGGGCAACAAAGAGCCGACCCTTAAATGGGTCCACCGCAACCAGATTAAACTTCACCACAACCCCATGGGACTTGTCGGGGCCTCCAGCGCCACCCTTGAGTCATAAACTACAACAGTCCCAAGTCCTCCTGATTGACGTCAGGTCCCCTAGTCCTCATAGATATTGTGTCTATGTGAAGTTTATCCTATTTGTGCGTCTGTATTGGTGTTGAATTGTTGCCACTGAGTTGCCCTCGGGCACACTTTGGGTCACAAAGGGGGGAGAAGAAATTAAAGTGACAGGGAGCATTTGAATTCTAGATTGTCCTATACCAACTCATCCTAACTATGTCCACCCTCTTCCTCAGGATGATTTGGCTGATAGCGCTCCTGATTCTCGGCTTGGTAGCTGCTCCAGCTAGCCCTGAGATCGTAGAGCCAGGACCGGACTCTGGAATTGTGTTAAGGGATCAGCCTGGACTCCTGATAACAGACTGTTGCCTGCACACACAGAAGGTGTTTGTCAGGCTCAACCCTAAGGAAGTCCTCAAGAAAAATGTTCCGGTAACAGCTCAACTGACCAGTTGGGCCGGGACACATTGGGTAGGCAGGTCGTAAATCACGCCGAGTTGGACATTACTTACATGTTAGAGCAACTTCAGAAATTCACTGTCACTCAAACAGAGTTAAGTGGTACCAACAGGAGGTCCAAGCGTTTTATCGGAGCACTGCTCACCGCAGCCTCGGTTGTTGGCTCTCTTTTTGGTGTTGGGCTCTCCTCTGTTAATGCAATTAGCTTAGCTGCCGTCAAACGCCATGTGGGTGAGCTAGAAGCCGAAATCCCAGACATCAGGGCTCAGATACACAGACAGCAGACACAACTGCAGACTATTGGCCAAACAGTCAAGGGCACCGTTCTGGTGGTTAACACCCACACAGAAGTCCTGAATAAGACGCTGCGTGCTGTAAATTCTTTGTTGTCGGTGGTCCAGGTCGACTATGCTCACACAATGCTATTGAATATGCTCATGTCAGACATGTTGCAAGAAATTATCATCCTCAATAGACAGCTTGGCTGCAGGCCGGATTCCTCCGTACTTGGTACCTCTCTCATTGGTTCAGGATTTACTATCAACTGCAACCAGAGAGGCCACCACTCCTTTACAAGCCCACCTCGCGTATACCCTAGGTAGCGCTGTGCCGATCTACGTTAATCCCAAAGATCGAGAAATTGCTTTCCTTATTAACTTGCCAATTATAGCACCAGGAAGCATCTATAGGCTAAAGGATGTAGTCAATGTCGGGTTTTGGAAAGAGGACACACACCTCCAAATTCAGACCCCACCAGTGGTCGCTTACCACGACAGCAATCCTGACCTATATCTAGCTCCTAACCTGCGTATGTGCACACGAACCAAAGACATACATTACCTCTGCCCCAGTAAACCATTTGTGTGGGACAGTACTAATGGCCTCTGCGGCCTTACGCCCATGGTGGCCGACACCAAATGCCCTACTACAGCAAGACACCGCTCACAAGTGACTGTAACGTAGGCCGAAAGAGTGGGTCACCGTTGGTTAGTTAACACCCCCACCAAAGCTGCCATTGTAAATTACGACCAGCACGATACTGCCACACGCATTTCTCTACTGGATCAGACCATGTGGATTGAGGTGCCACCAAATGCCATTCTCCATATAGATGACATTGCCCTCTATTACCTCAAACCTGAGCAATTCGAAACAGAGATTGAAGTGCCAGCGTTTTTCAGCAAGCATACGCAGCAGTTAGATCCAAACACTATTTCCCAAATCCAATATGCAGGTACTCAGATCATTGACCTAACGCCTGTAGATGACGTCCTTATAGACATAAGGTCCCAAGAGAAGTCCCCGCTGCAACCCATAGTCTATGTTTGGTCCACCCCAGACACCTTACTAGCAGCCGCCATAGTGTTAGGGTATCTCCTGACCTTCGGGTTAACCTTCATCTACGTCAAACGTGGTAAAGCCCTACAGTACAAAATAGACCAGTGTGTAACTAGGTTACGACTCCGTAGACAACCGGAAACGGAACAGGGAGTTGAACAGCCAGAGGAAGACCTGGGGCCTCATGTATCAACGCTTGCGGCGCAAGAAAACCTTGCGTACGCCAAAATCGGCGCACACGTCCAGATTTATCATCGCGAAACGAGCGTCGGTTCCAGCGCTAATCAACGCAAAGTCAGGAGGTGGTGTAGAAATTGGCGTTGAGCTGGATATTTGCGTTGACTGTGATTCGCACTTTGGCGACGCTGTGTGGCGGTGTTTGGTGACTCACTATGTGACAAGCGTGCACCACATCCCCGTGGCCGGGCAGCACGTCGCCCCACATGACGAACCAGCAGCAGACGGAGAGATGCGAGCTGATCCCTGCCGGGCCGCCGTCCTCGCGCGGGAGAATCTCATCGCCACAGTGTGAATGGGTAAGAAGTGAATACACAGTTCAATGAGCCAAATTTATTTATTTTCTCCACCAGACGCTCGAGGAAATTTACGAGCCGGTCCAGCCGCTCGTTGATCCCCGCGATCCCCCTGATGATTTCTTCCTGCGATTGCAGGACCCCCTCCGCGAGGACCCTTCCACTGCGTCCGGGTGGTCCAGCGGAAGCGCCGCGGCTGGTGGACGCTCCACCGCTTGTCGGCGCGCTGGTGCTGATGCTGGTGCTGGGGCCGGGGGCCGGGGTGGCCCGAATGCAGCTGGTCCTGGCCGACGACTCCGAGCCGGCGGACGGGCTACCGCGGGCCAGGGTTCCGCAAGCCGGCGACACGGCCGACACATTGAATTCTGTGACACAATAAAAATATTTGTTCATTTCAATTCCTGCTTCTGTGTATCTGTTGCGTTTACATCTCTCTCCACGGTATCATAGGTAATGTAATCCAGTATTTCGAGGTCAGTTATGCACATTACAGTTGTTTATTGCATAAAAAGTTATCGAAAAATGAAGTTAAGGGCGAAGTATAAATCACGTCTAAAAATAGACTGAATCCCGACGTTGAAATGAAGTATAAACTTAGACTAGACGTCTAATATACGTCTTTTGCTCAGTGGGATGACAAAGCATGTGGACATTTGTGTGACACGCCACTTACCCTATAATAATAATCGCCACCCCCCGCTGCTCAAACGGTGTGAGGGTCTCCTCCCCCGGACCCCCACCTGTCTGGCCGGTACTCTTCCGGAGGGCAGCTGTACGCCGCTTGACCTCCACCTTGAGGTCCGACCACTTTTTTTTAATCTCCGCGGGGGTGCGTGTCTCGAAACCCACCGCATTCACCCTCTCGCAAACTTTCTCCCACTCCAAGCGTTTTTGTTTTGCACTGACGCCACTGGACAGGCTGCCAAACAAAACACGCTGTCGCTCCTCCACCTCCGCCACCAGCACCTCCACCTCGCACGCCGTAAATGTAGTTTTTCTTGTCATTTTGTCTGCGTGCGAGGACAGGGAGACCCTATTTAAATAAATCTGCATATTTATAGGAGGGCGTAACGGGGACGGGCCAGTCACTCCGACATCTGCGCTCAATTCCACGCTGATTGGGATTTATCAAGGAAACACACGTGGATTTCGGCGCCCGCACACATTGATACATACGGATTTCTTTCAGCGTGACGGACCTTGCGTGCGCTCGTTTCTGGTATGAGTTCCACGCAAGTGTTGATACATGAGGCCCCAGGTGAGCCACATGCTCGAGATGTAGTCAGCTTCCTGTAACCCCGCACCCATAGATTTAGTAGGCTTAACACATACAGTAGATCTAACAAAGTAGCTAGTTCTGAACGAGACGCATCACCCTCCTTGGACTAACTGCTGCTTCCACCTGGTCGTCTCATCTCGTCGTCCCAATGGCTCCTGGAGCTGCCATCGAGACGAAGGGGGGATTTGTAACGAGACAACTGCTTTCTGCTATCCACATTGAATCCACCCCTCAAAGGAATGCAGGCTCCCCTGGTTTGGACAGGAAATGGGGGAGTAACGGTTTGCACACCAAGTTCCCATTTACGACCCAGGAAACCATTTGGGAGGTGATAGTGAATCTTTAACGCTTCCCAAAAGGACAAGTTGCTTATCAACCACCCAGACCCATAAACACGGCGTCTCTCACCCTGGCTGGGAAAGATCAGAATTGACATTTCAGGATTAACCCAATGACCTAAAACGGAAAACAAACCATTTGGCGCCAGGTCCGGAAAAACCAGATACCTGCCATAAAATTCTTTGAGTGACTGTTTCTCTCCATGGCTTTCTTTAAAGGAGCAGAAAGAAGAGGATGCCTGAAAATGGTTTAACTTCATGTTTAATGGACACTTAATGGACAATTTTCTGTCTGCACACCACATTCTTAATGAAATGGTCTTTTTCCCAATTTTGTAACATATCCACAAGCCAAACTGTTAACTTCACAAATTTATTCCAGGTTTTCCATGGATCAAGAGCTCCTCCTAGTGGTGATGCCTGAATATGGTTTGATCAGAGCCAAATGGCAGGAATCTAATCATGTGTATTTCTTCCCTTTTGTTTTATACACTTCGTAGCTTAGTAAATGGTATTCCCAAGATAGGCTACTAGTAGTAACGTGAAACTCGTTTAGACTCAAGTTAAGAGGCCCAGAGATCCGAAGTATCTAACGGCGCTGACACGGTCCTGAAGCTGAGATCCAGACACGGCGGAAGAACTCCCCGCCGAACCTTCAGTATCCGGTCCGGTAGCCACAGAACTTCAGCTGATCCATTCCAAGAGTGCCGCTGAGAACCGACGTCCAAAGTAGGCAAAATCCTCGAAACTGCTGTGATGAGAACTGGGTGATGCCGTCAACCGTTCAGTGGCTTACTCTCATAAGTTATAGTTTAGTTCTCCAAATTCTTCTAAATTTACCCTCGTAACTCCGTTAACGTAGGTTAAATTTTCCCTTATTCACTCACTATCATTAACCTCCAGTCTTAGGTTTAATTTAAACCATTCCTTCGTTTATTCATTAGATGTGCTTTGATTTTCTCATTATTTGATCATCATTTATTGAAGTTTTGTTATCATATTACTTGTTAATAAATTGTTCATTTAATTTTAAGTTGTCGTCTTAGTGGTCTTTCAGAAAGTAGTCCATGAATGAAGAATTCCGGCCTCAGATGAGAGACTGATTTAAATCTGTTTAAGACTGATCCAACGTTTAATTACTCAATTGAACTTTGTTTCGTCCTTTTCCCACCAGAAAGGTGGGTGGTGCCCCTTCAACGAGTGCATAAATGTCATAATTTAATTTGATTAATTTTCGACATTTATTTTGAATTTGAAATCGCGACACCGACATCTGGTCCGGCTCAAGGACTAGAAAGGCCTATGGTGGTGGACGGCTCCTCTCTCTTCGCTGCAGGAAAAAAAGATTCAAAAGATCTTTTGTATCCACAGCCATCAGACTCTACAATTTAAATAGTAGATGACTTTTTGAGACATGACAAATGAGACTATAGACAATTGAATTTCCCTTAGGGGATAAATAAAGTTCTTCGTATCTTAAATTAATTTTTGATTAACTATTATGAACACTTTGGATTTTTAGTCCTTATTAATTTGTTTGAAGGGTTATCGAACAAGACAATGGTCACTTCCAGCTTTTGACTCAACTTGACTTTTGATAGATGTATAATTGAGGACAGCCACTTGGTGGGTTGAGTAAAAGTACATTATGATGCCATTAGCTTTGGGTGGATGTTGGTTTATTTTATTTTATTTCTTTAATAAAAAGGGATTAATGTTTGTTTCCATTGTGTCTTACAGGTATCCTGTCCAGTCTCCCCACTCTCCCCTATCATTTTGGCCACTCTGTCTTTCCTGTCTCCTCTACCGCTCTGTCTGCTTGAAAAGCAACTCTGTCTTTCTATCCCTCTTCTATCCCACTCTGACTCATTGCAGAACCTTGCTGAACTTTTCAGAACTTTTCAGAACTTTGCAGAACTTTTCAGAACTTTGCACACCTTTGCTGAACCTTGCAGAACATTTGAGAACCTATTTTGAGAACCTATTTTGAGAAACCTTTTGAAACAAGCAACCTTTCTTTGAGTCAAAACTTTTGAAACGGAAGTACATTTAATACAACCGCTATTTTGAAAAGTCCCTAATTTTGCACAAGTCTGATTGTGTTTCTAGGTCCTCCTCTCCTGTCTGTGAATCCAGAGTTTCGCCAGAAGACGTGTCGTCAGCTCCACCACATTTGCATACCTGACTTTGAAAGAACATAAAAACACATATTTGAGTTGCATAGTATTTCAAGCACAAAGTTCTAAGATTAAAAAATTGTTGATTTGCGTTTTTTCTTAAAACATTTATATAGTCTTGCCTAGGATTTCCTTAGAAAACATTTTATAAACTATTGTTGGTATACACACAGTTATAAATTAGATTTTTTTGGAGACTATAAGAGCTGTTAAATAAAGTCCTCTTGAAGAAATAAAGCATTTTTGTCTATACTGGTGCTTATCAGTAACTTTTAATTGTTGAATAAACACGTTGTGAAAGGACAGCTACAATGCCAAGGAAGAGTAAGAGGTCACAGGTTGCAAGCCAGCGCTGGCAGAGGTTTCATGACATTGACCGTGTGAGTACTGGACAAGCAGATGGTGTTCCTCAGAGCATTGGAGAGGTAAAGAGGTCTGAAGTGTCTGATGCTGTGAAACAGGGAGGTGAAAATGCGTCATGTCAACCACAGGTATCTTATGCAGACGTGCTTAAGAGGAGACGTGTAAGTGAGTCACCTGCAGCAGGTCCTTCTAACTCTCATCAGGTGAACTACATAGCCCAAACTGAAAAGCCATGCTCAACCCAGGTATCACATGCAGACACTGTTAAGAAGGGACACCACAGTAATTATCAGTCTGTATCAGGCTCTTCTCAGGTAAGAAATGAGAACGCAGTTAGTCAGTCAGGTGAACAAAGCGCCTGTGCATCACGCAGCCAAGCGTCTCTGAAATACAGCCAATCCAGAAACCAGCAGTGCACCTGTAACTCACTGACATTTCCAGCATTCCTGTATGAGAGCGAACACATCACCAGAGCAGACCTGGACCGTGTTTTGGATAAAGGTGATGTGATGTACAGAGAAGTCAGGAAAACTGTTCGTGATCACAGCCATCTGACAACCGATGAGCTCCCTAAACAGGTTCCTGCACGCAGACACACGCAGAGTGTTGACAAGTCACAGCTGTCTAGATACGGTACGTTTGGAGATCCGGATCCCAGAGCTGTTGATACCTTTCTGGACCTCGAGATGGGACTGAGCTGCTTATTATCAGATGTGCAGTATGCTTTGCTGCTAATGACTTCACTGTGCATTGCAGTTTTCAGAACCAGAGATGGCAGGTACGGTTTCTTTGACCCACATGCTAGGACAGCTAACGGTTTGCCTCTGCTTCAGGCCACACCTACTCCTGGTACTGCTGTCATGGTAACATTCACACGCCTCAGTGACATGATTGCCAGGCTCATCAGATATCACCACATATTGGGCACAGCAGCGTCCTGTACCTATGAGCTCAAGCCAGTTGTGTTCTGTGATGTGAACCCAAGTGATGCTATCCCAACCACAGAAAGTCCGTCCACAAGTCCCTCTGTCACAACCACTGTGATAAATAATGACACAAGTGCTCCACAGATGAACACTGATGTCCATGAAAACGCTGAATGGGGCATGGAAACAGAACCAGAACCACTGATCGACTTCAACCAGTGTTCTGTCACATTAACTGGTCTTGAATTTCTCACTCCAGAGATTAACACTACTGTAAGTGATGACACATCACAGAAAGCCTCAACTTTGATGGAAACTCAAGCTCATCAACCAGGTCAAATCAACAATAATTCTGTCACATTAGAGGAAACTCAACAGACACAATCAAATTTGACACAACCATTGATAACGATCCCCGTTGATAGTGACAAAGTTATCCATGACATCTCCACTAAACTGTCAAAATTAAGCAAACAGCAAAAAAAGAAATTTAAGAGGAGACTAATGAGATATGGAAAGACATCTCAAAAGAAAGAGAATCAAAAAAGGAGAGAAAGAGAAAAGTATGCTAAGAATGAAACATACAAAGCAAAGAAAAAGTCTTATTCAAGTAACAAGTATTCTGTAAATCCTGAGTTACGGACAATGAACAGACAGAAGATCACATCTAAACATAGAGACAGCACAGACTTCAGACTGAAACAAAAACATATCACTAAAAAATACAGAGAAAATGTTGATTTTAAAGGCAGACAAAAAGAATATATCAGGAAAAAATACCCGGAGGATGTTAATTTCATGCAAAGACAGCGATCATATATCAATCATCGATATGCAAATGATGAAATATTCTGTCACCGACACAGACAGTTGATGAGTCAAATGATGCGAGACAGGTACAAGAAAAATCTTGCATACAGGACTGTGCATAAAATGAGGTGTGCATTGAAAATATCAAAGAAATACAAACGGATAAGTAAACAAACATGGGAGACTGACAGAGAGAGTGAAAACCCACTAATTGAAAGTGCCATAAATGATTTCCGATCACACATTAAAGCTGGTCCCACCTATGTTTGCACAGTTTGTCACAAAGCCTCATTTCCAAACCAGGTGCAAAAGTGCAAGAGGTCCAATTATGTAAAAAATCCAATCATGGTTTCAGCTTGTCTCAAAGGTCAGTACGTCCATGATTGTAATGATGACTGCAGAAATCAGTGCACTGTCCCTGATGAGAGGAAGACTGAGTGGATTTGTCACACCTGCCATGACCATCTGAAAAATGGAGCCATGCCCAAACTTGCCATAGCAAACAACTTGGAGCTTGCTGACATACCACCTGAGCTGTGTGACCTCAACATACTGGAGAGACATCTGATAGCAAAGTGCATAACATTTGCCAAAATCATTCCTCTTCCCAAAGGCAGACAGCGAGCTATACATGGTAATGTTGTATGTGTTCCCTCTGAAGTCCAGGAAACAATTCAGGCTCTACCCAGATTGAGAAATGAATCTCAGGTGATGAGAGTAAAACTGAAGAGACGTTTGAGTTACAGAGGTCACCATCTGTTTCAGACTGTTACCTGGTCCAAGCTAGTGCAGGCTCTGCATAAACTGAAAGAGATACACCCCCAGTATGAAGACATCACTATTAGAGATGAGGAGGAGTTATGTGACCCCACACTTCCTGATGATGGTGATGAGGATGAGGATGATGATGATGATGATGATGATGGTGATGATGATGGTAATGATATTACAATGAATGATGACGACTATGATGATGAGGATTTGATGGAAATTGATAGAATTGAGGCTGCTGCCATGTATGAGGCTGAAACTAACATTAAAACTGAGGATGAAAACACAGAGCTGTGTGATAAAAGTCAGACCCAGGACAATGATGATCAGACACAACAACAGGATTCAGACGTGCATAATGGCAGTGTTGTTTTGGAGTCGTGCCTTCAGCCACGTGATGTTTCTGAGGAGATATTGTGTTTCAGTGACTCTACATACTCAGTAGCTCCAGCAGAGAGAAACAGTCCAGTCAGTTTTTTCAAAACACCCAAATTAGAGGCCATGGCGTTCCCTGTTCAGTTTCCCACTGGTGAGAATACACTGGATGAAAACAGACCCATGAAATTATCACCTAGTAGATATTTTAAAGCAAGGCTCTTTGGTGTTGATGATCGCTTTGCCAGAGATACCAACTACCTGTTCTTTGCACAGTTTGTGACCGAAATACACTTGGCTACCTCCAGCATGTCCATACAGTTACGCAAAGGCAAACCTTTGACCAGAGATGGACGTAAAATAACATCCAGAATGTTGAGAGACAAATACGAAGTGGAGAGATTGGTGAGAAACAGAGATGCTATCAGATTTATGCAGCAGCTCAGAGGAACACCAGCCTACTGGGACAAAACTACGAAAGATCTGTTTGCTATGATCAGACAGTTGGGCAGTCCTACTTTCTTTGTCACATTTTCTGCAGCAGAAATGCGTTGGCCTGAGGTGATTATTGCAATAAAATCACAACAAGGTGAGGAGGTGAATTTTGAAGAGCTCGCCTGGTCCACAAAGTGTGACATTCTCAGAAGCAATCCTGTGACAACGATGCACATGTTTGATAAGCGTGTTGAAGCACTGTACAGAGATCTGATCATGTCTCCTGCACAACCCCTGGGCAAAGTTTTTGACTTCTTTTGGCGTCTCGAGTTTCAGCACAGGGGAAGTCCTCATATACATGGTCTTTTGTGGGTAGAAGGTGCACCTGTGTTTGAGAGAGACTCTGATAAAACTGTGTGTGACTTTGTGTCCAAACACATCTCTGCTCAGCTCCCTGACCCAAATAAACAGCCTGAACTGTACAAAAAGGTCAAAGAAGTGCAAATACACAGTAAGAACCACTCAAAGACATGCTTCAAAAGTGCAAGTTCTGGATGCCGATTTGGATTCCCAAAACCACCCTCCAGACAGACAATGATAACAAGACCTGTGGGTGATGATGAGGAGTCAGAGAGACTTAAGAGAGCCAAAGAGAAACTTGCACCACTGAATCAGCTGCTGAATGAGACACAAACTGAATCCATGAGTTTTCAACAGCTCCTGTCTGTCTGTGACTTAACCGCTGATGAGTATGAGAAACACATGAATGTGATGAGTCAGTCCAGCAACATCATTCTGAAGCGTGAGCCAAAAGACTGCTGGGTAAACACCTACAACCCTCACCTGCTCAAAGCTTGGGATGCAAACATTGATGTGCAGTTCATTCTCAGCTACTACAGTCTGATCCATTACATATGTACGTACATGTGTAAAAGTGAGAACTCTGTGAGCCAGTACCTGCAAACACTCATTCAGAACTCCGACAGAGAATGTGTCAATGAATGTGATGAAATGAAAGCGGTCATGCAGGCGTATTCCAAAAAGCGAGAAGGATCAGCACAAGAAGCTGTTGCCCGAGTGACTTCACTGAACATGAAAAAGAGTTCACGCAGTGTGGTTTTTGTCCCAACTGATGACAACCCAGTGAAAATGAGTCTGCCTGTGTCAAGCCTTGAGAACACAACACCAGACAGCTTGAATGTGTGGATGACATCCTTAACAGACAAGTACAAATCCAGACCTGAATCACCAGAGTTTGAAGAGATGTGCATGGCTGATTTTGCGTCTACCTGCAGACTGGTGTATGGACAACAGACCAAGGGCAAGAAAGTGGTACCTTTGCTGAATGAACTAGGCTTTATACAGAGACGAGAAAAAGACAACGTTGCTGTCATCAGGTATCGCCGCATATCCAAAGAGAAATACCCTGAGCAGTTTTACGGCACATTGCTTAGACTGCATCTTCCATACAGATCAGATGATGAGCTGAAAAGACCACATCTACCCACGTATGAGTCATTCTATGAGAGAGGTGTGGTTCAGCTGCTGTATTCTGACCGACCCCTGAGTGTGAAACTCATCGTGAAAAGAAACAGAGAGAGATATGAAAAAAACAGAGAGGAAATTGACTCTGCTCTCGAGGACTTTGAACAGAACAGAGGTGTGGTCGATGAATGGTGTAATTTGACACCTGAATCTGAACTGGTGAGGTTGGAGTGTATCGATGAACTGGATGCCAGACAGTGTGAAAATGTCCAAGAGGATGTACCTGATTACAGTAGACAAGCAAATGTTGCTACAGAAGCCAGAGTCATGAGAGAGCCCCCTACAATCGATCCCACACGGTTACGACAAATGTATCAGAGTCTGAACCAGAAACAGGCGTGTGTGTTCTATGCAGTAAGAGACTGGTGCATAAAACGAGTCTGTGGACCACAACCACAGCAGTTTTTCTACTACATCAATGGTGGTGCTGGCACTGGAAAGTCACATCTCATTAAATGCATTCATTCAGAAGCATCAAAGATTCTGAGAACACTACCTAGACGTGCTGAGGAAGCTGACATCTCAAACCCGACTGTGCTGTTGACTGCTTTCACTGGAACTGCAGCCTTTAACATCTCTGGAACAACACTGCACTCTCTTCTCAAGCTGCCCAGAAGTTTGAAACCTCCTTTTCAAGGTCTTGGGAACCAACTTGATGAAATCAGGTGTGAGCTTTTAAATGTTGAAATCATCATCGTTGATGAAATCTCCATGGTGTCGAAGCCTCTGTTTGCCTATGTGGATGTGAGACTGAAACAGATTAAAGGCAGCCACAGACCCTTTGGAGGAATGTCAGTCATTGCTGTGGGAAACTTTTACCAGCTACCGCCTGTGCGACAGTCCAAACCACTCTGTGTCTATGATCCAAGTGAACTTGACCTCTGGAGAGACAACTTCCAGGTGATCACTTTAGATGAGATCATGCGACAGAAGGATGACAAAACTTTTGCCGAGATGCTGAACAGACTCCTTGTGAAAACAAGGTCAGATGAGATTTCTGAAGCTGACAGAGCTCTGCTGTCACAGCGTGTCACTGAACCACAACTGTGTCCCTCTGATGTCCTGCACATTTTTGCAACCAACAAACAAGTCGCCGCACACAACTCTGCTACACTATCTCTGCTCCATTCTGATATCACCACCATTGATGCAGATGACTTTAAAAAGGACCCACACACTGGACACATGAAAAGACAAGGTGCACCATGTCATGGAAGCAGAAATGATCTACCTGACACCCTAGATGTTGCAGTAGGTGCTAGAGTCATGCTTACCAGAAACATTGATGTGTCTCAAGGATTGGTGAACGGATCATTTGCTACAGTAGGTCGTCTCATAAGCTCTGAAAACAACGGTTCTGCTCTTGTCACTATGCTTGGTCTCAGGATGGATGATGAAACAGCTGGCAGGAGCTATCGTACTCGAGGAGACAATCTTGTGTACATCGAGAGATCTAAGGAGGCTCTGCAACAGAAAGGAGTGGTACGCAGACAGTTTCCTGTGAAACTTGCCTTTGCATGCACGATACACAAGGTTCAAGGTATGACCAGAAAATCTGCTGTTGTCTCTCTGAAGCACATTTTTGAGCCCGGCATGGCCTACGTAGCTATCAGTCGGGTGACCTCTCTCAGCGGACTGCACATGCTTGATTTGGATGAGAGTAAAATCCATGCTAACCCTGCAGTCACTGTATCTTTGGAGACCATGACACAAGCTAACTTTGATCACCTCATGCCTTTTCTCCAGATCCAGCATTCTCTCAGCAGACAGGACACTGTGAGCATCATTCATCACAACACCGAAGGATTACCTGCTCATGTGAATGACATCAAAAGCCATCATGAACTGTATCTTGCAGATGTTTTGTGTCTGACAGAAACTCACCTACAGGGCTCCTTTGAGGCAGACAGTCTCCAGTTTGAGGGCTACACCATGTTCAAACGCAACAGACATTTGTCCTACACTAACTTTCCACAGATGACCAGTAAAGGAGGTGGTGGAGTTGCTGTTTATGTGAAAAACCATTTGCAGGTTGTGGAGAAACAGTACCTGAATACAGTGGCGGTTCTAGACCAAATTACTCCCCGGGCGAGCACCTCTCCAAGTGCCCCCCCCCCCCCCCCCCCACACACACACACACACACACACACACACAAACACAAAAAGAGATAGAATTTTGAACAGATAGTTTTGTATTACTATGTAGTATTATTATTATTATAACAACAAAAATAATATATTTCTCAATTGCAGAAATCCTTCAATAGAAAAAAACACAATCCTGAGGGCCATTTTGAGAAGGGCCCCCAGATCCTGAGGTTTTCTGAAGTGTTAAGGTTTACAAAAAAGCTGCTATCTCGGCCTCTGTAGTAGATAGAAACAAAATTCAAAAAGTATTTGAGAGCTTAAACACGTGGCTTTCAAGAAAGCTCTCCTTTAGTTTTGCAAACCTTCATCACATTTTGAAAACCTTGAACAAACAAACTCAAATGAAATAAAGCGGCTGTATAAATAAAAGTAGAGGCTCTGCACTGGAGAATGACAAATAATTTGCTTTCTGTAAAACAAGTGGCAGTCATGACAAAGTGTCCATTCAATACAAATGTAAATATAGAAAATAAGGTGTTGAAAGGGTATACAGCTGCCCCAGTATAGTGCCAGTACAAAAGCAGAACTAAAAACTAAAAAATGAATAAATAAATACGTGGCTGACAGTGTGTTCATCTCTGTTCTCACCCAAAGTCATGCAACACTCAGAGAAAACGCTGATAGTGTGAGCCACAGCACTCCATATGAAGAGGTTGTTCACACTGCTGGATGTTTCTCCTCTGAAGCTGCTCTTTGCCTCCGTCTTTGTTTACTTCACTCATGAAGCTCATCAAGCACGTAGCAAGATCCGAGCATGAACCCGAGCGCTTTATTCGCCTATCAAAGGCAGACGGGTACGGTGATTTCATTCACCGCGACTCCAGAAATGATTAAAAAACTACAAAATGACGTATCCGCGCTCCCGCTGATATGCTGACATGCGTACACAGAGCAGAGCTGTCCCCCCGCGACTCTCTCCCCGCCTCGTCTCCTACAGTCTGTCAGCCTCTGTGCAGCACCTTCGGAGCAAGCAAGGGCGCCTACAGCAGCGGGGGGGCGCCAATTTGACAACAAGAGTTAATACAAAACCGCTTTGCGGTTAAGATTTATTATTATTATCTTTTATTTTATTTTTTTGGAAGTGCTCGTGCCGCCCCCCATGAGTCATGACACAAATGCCGCCCCGGGCGGCTGCCCTGTTCGCCCGTGCCTAGAACCGCTACTGCCTGAATAATGTGACTGACCTTGAGTTTGTGGCTTTGAAGGTTGAATCTCCTGTAAGTGCTCTGATTGCAGCTGTGTACAGACCTCCAGACTACAGTGTGCCATCATTCCTGTCCAATCTGGGAAGCCTTCTGGACTCACTTGAGATCATGGACTGTCATCCTATCATTGTCTGTGGCGACTTCAATGAGAATCTCTTTTCTAATGCAAGTAAGCCAATTTTGGATTTTTTTCAGTCCAAGGGATATGGTCAACTGATCACTGCTGGAACAACGGACAAGAACACACTGCTGGACCTGATTTTCATCTCAAGACCTCAACTATGTCTCTCCTCAGGTATAATGCAGACGTACTACAGTTACCACAACACCACTTACTGTGTCATTTCATTCAACAGGTCATAGAGGAAACTGCTCTTAAGGAAAAGACAAACTACAGAGGGTTTAGCTGATGTTCTGCTTATATTTTCAGTGCCCATTTGGTGTTTGTGCATTTATCAAGTCCAGTCAAGTCAAGTTAATCCATTTAACTTGACTTGACTGGACATAGGGAGGGTGGGTGATGATTGATAAATGCACAGGCCAAAACTCTCAGCTGCTGTGTACAATAATGTATACAGCAGCTAAAATTAGAGATGTCCATCAGAAAGCGTGTGTTCATTAGGGAACACACACTTTCTGATGTTCTGTGACCTACCAGCTGAAACCCCCCTTTTCTCCACCCAACTTTACACTACCATCTTAGCATGGGTGGCTGTAAGTACACTAGAGCAAACCTAAGTTTCCTTTTTTGGGGGTATGTTTTGGTTCATTTATCTATTTATCTATTTTCAGTTGTATCCTCCATCTTTGGCCTGACCTCTATTAGTGATGTCCTGACTAGCTCACTGTAAACTGAAAAATTTATCGAACTGTCAACCAAAAGTAAATGCATCACCTGTAGGTACAGTAGAGTAAAGCTGAGTTTCCTTTTGTTTGGGTTTTTTTTTTTCTTCTTCAGTTGTCTCTGCCATCTTTCACCTGACCATTAGTGCTGTCCTGACTAGCTCACTGTGAGTAGAAAAAAATTATCAAACCGTCAACCAGAAGTAAACACATCACTTTGGACAACTCAAAGACACAGTCTACCTGCTGTTTAACCCAGTCTTTGGTCAGAGGTGAAGAAGAGATGACATCCTCCAAACCATCCCCCTGCTGCTCTGAACAATCATCACCCGCTGTGCTGGACAGACTGCAGCACCCACCAGGACCCTTCTCTCATGGACTACACAAACATGTGTTTTACCTGCTCGTGCTCCAGATGTCCTGAAACAGCTCTCAAGGACCACCAGACACCAGGCTGAAGCAGAACTGATGCTGTAGTTCCTGTCACTCACTGGGCTCGTTCCTGCTGAACCTCCAAGAGATAAACCCCTTTTCAAGAAAGTCTGAGGTGAACTTGTGTGCATTTATTTTTTCTTAGTTATCTTAGCTGCTGTATTAATGCTTGTGACGCTAATGTACAGCTCTGCTGATATCATCGTCTTTAACAGCAGTGTTTTCTCCCAGGTCTTCTTCAAGCCAGTTAAGAGAGGAAGAACAGCTTAGACACTCAGGCAGCTGAACGCACCAAAGGTGGACATCATGCAGCCACCCTGAGCCTTGAGCCTCTCTGTGTGAGGAAGCTTTGCTGCTGCAGACCTGGTGAAGTTGCTCTGCTGCAGTGCTGAAGGTATTCATTGTAATGATGTGTGTATTTATTCAATATGTTTAGTTTCACAGATTATCAACACAAATGTTTCTGTTTATTTCCTGTTTTGAACCAGCTACATTCTCCTACTTCAAGTCAATGTCTGTTCATCCATGGTGTAGCTAGTGCAGCTAACTAATGGTGATCCCACAAGTCCTGCAGTCCTGTGAAGCAAGCTGCAGCAGATGTCATTACATTCAGATCATCATTTTATCTTTACTGCAGCTTTAAACTTTCCCTGCGGTAACGGTGTATTTCCTTGCCCCATAACAATAACCATGTTTGACCAACATAGAAAAGCACAGTATTACTGTTAGCACAGGATTACAGAGTTAAAGTGAAGGGGATTTTTTTTTTTTTTTCAGACCTCTCCTCCTCCTGCCTCTGACTCCAGTGATGCTGTCAACTCGAACACTGATAACTGCACACAGCGATTCTACAACCACAGGTCAAAGGTCAAAACATTACCTCACTCTAAACCTTCACTCTGAACTGTACCAGGCTCTGCTTTTGGTTTTGAAAGAAATTGCCCAGACAGAACACAGTACTCACTTGAGGAACTGACTGATTGTCTTCAGGACAGGACAACTATTACTCTTGTATTGTTTTGAATCCTGTTTTCTACATTAAGTGATCGGTTGTCAATATCTGTTAATATTTTAAGTTTCCTTTATGTTTCTTGGACTTCATTTGTTCTATTTAATTTTAGTATTTTCTTTCCCTTGTACTGTGTATCTGTCCTTATATCAAAAGATGACCAACACTGATGAAGGGAAAAAATACCAGTTACTTCAGTTGTTGCAGGCAGCTGAATTTCTCATTTTAATATGCTCACCATATCCCTCAAATTTACCTACAAGAGAAGTCGTGTTTTAGAAATAAATGATGTACTTTGGGTTTCAGCTGGTAGGTACACTGAAATTTTTCACCTGTGCTTAGTCTTGGGCTAATGTTTTGGACAGAAGTGATCCCAGCATTACAGTGTGAAACAATCCCTGCTGAAGGTTGTCGTCACAATCATCAAACACAGGGCTTGGTTAAACGAGCTGTGTAAAGGGATTTCATAGAGGAACAAAGTTTTCATGCTTATCCTTAAAATGTAATTCTTCATAGTAGAAACCTTTTTAAAAAGAAACTATCAACATGAAGACAACCCAGCATTTCAGTAAGACCGAGTAGTGTGAATGTTTGGATAAGAAAACACTGAGATCGAAAATGCTGACCAGATTGTCAGTCCACTGCAATGAGCTGATGACAGTATTAGCCTTGGTGGTAAGGTGGACCAATACATTACATCAATTTATTTCAAGTTCTCAAATCTACTTTTTAATCTGATCATTTTAGATTTTGTTTAAAGTTTCAGTTTCATATCATTTAATTTTATTTATTATTATTATAATTATTTATTATTCTATAATTTTCTTTTTTTTCTACATGAGAGGGCCCACATTTCACTGCAGTTAGCTTTAAAAAATACTAAAATGCCATATTTAATTCATACGCCTTTCACCTTACTTTGCCTGTATATTTCCACAAGCCTGGAAAACTTTATTTGCATTTGCATTCTTTACCTTACCCTTCACATTATTTTACATTTATTCTATACTTGTTGTGTTTCACATTTATGTTGTTATACTGCTGACCGATTTTAGTAACTATTTTTTAATAACTCTCAAGTCACCATTTTCATATATTTTTTTAATGTATAGGTATAATAAAGGTTTTTCAGCTCTGCAAACTTAGTCTTAGGCTAATCTAAACCCTTAAAAACACGCATAACAGTCCTGTATCAGACTTTGAAGTCAAATTTCAAGGTCTGTATTTAAAGCCCACAACACAGGACTTGGCTTCATGGGCCATGACAAATTTTATGACACTTAGAAAAGAAAGAGGTGAATGTGGGTCCAGGGCTGCTGGAGTTTGAATCCAGTGAGTAATGGGGTGTTAGCCTCAGTCTAACCACCATGTGAAGAGCCTTTAATGATTGGGCTGAAGAATATTAGAAACCACTGAAATTGTGATACCTTTGTTCATCAAGAATCACAGCAACTACAATATTGAAACCTCAAGCTTAAAACACACAATGGCCACCCATGCAAAGATTTTTGTTGTTTGGTCTTGTTTTTTTTTTAATTAATATTATCATCAGGGTTGGCTATCTAAAGGCACCTGTATCCTAGGGAGAAATTAATTAAGAAAACCAGAACTTAACAAAAGAGCAAAAACAAAGACTCAAGCAAAGAGTTTACAGAAGGAAAGAGTAAACTTTAAAGACTTAAAATAAAGAAACTCAAATTATGGCAAAACAGCCAACACAGCAGCCTGGTATCAGGGGCAGCGGTGAGGACGGGCTGGGCACTGCAAAACAAACAAACAAATCAATAAATTGGTCATGGAAACATGCCACTTAAATTAGTATTTTAAATTTAACACTACCTACCGAAAGAAAGGGCTCAGCAAGCCAGCAACCCAGGGCTCTGCAGGTGATGGCTGGGAGAGAAAGAATATGTTATATTTACATGTGTTATATATTATTATTATGTATATATATATCCTCAAAACAACTTTCATTTAGTGCCCCTCAGTGGCCAAAAAAGCCACTACTTTGTTTGCTGTAAAATCATATTGGAATAATATTTTTTTTCAGATTTTTTTTTAATACATCCCTTATTTTACTTCTGCCCTGCTCAAAACTAGCAAATGTTTCATTGAAAATAATTTTTTTCAACCCTTTAAGGGCCCATTTAAGACATAAAGTCATTAATATAGCAAAAAATTGAAAGAAAATGATGTA